CAATCAATGGAAAAACACTATACACATCGCCCCTGACTAATGCTCTCTCGCAGACAAAAAGAAACACGTTTATCCATGTAAACACAGCCCGCCGCTCCGACCCATCCCACACCCCGCACCTTCCTGAGCCTGGGCTTGCGGTCTAGCCAAGTAACGGTCCCCAATCGCCTCGAATGGAAGCGCTTACCCTCGACATCCAGGTTTCCAGCGGGACTGGGCTGGTGTGCAGGAGCCGGAGGGTCCGCGATGGGCTGGGCGGCGAGGCAGGCTGGGCGCTGGGAGCCGCTTGCCTCCGGTGCGCGCCGGTCCGGCGTTAACAAGCCCTGGGAGGGGACCCGGTCCTCGTGCGGCTGAGTCCACGGCGGAGTCCCCGGCGATCGCCTTCCGCGGATGGAGCTTCCAGAACGGCGTGGGGAAGGGGAGGGGGTCATCTAATGCAATCACATCGATCTGACCTCCACCATCTGTCGCCTGCCACTCTCCCCAAACGTTAAAATAGGAAAACGGAAAACACGGACAGCCCGGGAGGGAGGCTTGGTCTCTGCAAAAGAGTTCTTTTTTTTTTTTTTGAGCAGAGCCTAATTGGGGAGGGTCGGCGGCGGTTGCCAGAGCTGCAGCTCACCCTCCCGGAGTGGGTCCCCCCACATGCTAATGGTGGATTAATTGAGGAAGATCTGACGTGCAGGCTTCCTGGTCTCTTATTCATGACTTCCCGAGGGGAGAGGACCAGTGCCTTGTGGGACGATGGGAGCACACAGTCAGAAAGCTGCTAAGAAAATGGCTGTGTGTTCACAGCACCTCGCTCTGATAACAAACATATGTCGACTAAAACGGTTTAGGAGAACGGGAGGGGAGGGTGGGAGAATAAAATTCTCTTTCCCGGTTTCAGCCATCCCCACCTTCTCTCCTTAAAGAAAAGCAAAAGCAGGGGCTGTGTCTTTACCATCATGTAGGAAAAAGGGGTGTTTTAAAATGTTGGATTTTTAAAAAAATCAAGATTAAACTCTGCCATGCAAAAGAAACGGAACACACCTGGGCAGAAATTCTTTTTTTTTTAAAACCTATTATTTTTTTTTTCTTACTATGAGCAAAGTAGACCCATAGCATGTGCGTACCGAAACTCAGCCCATGAATCCCACCAGGATGGACGGGGGTTGTGAATGCCTGGTACCCTTTTGACTTCTTGAAATCTGGTTGCCTCTTGGGCAAGACATTCTGCATCATTGAAAACGGAGATAACGAACGTTAAATGTGGTTGAGGTGAGGAGATGGAAGGAGTTTGCTTTTTCAATTCGGCAATTACTCCCCCAGCCAAAACCCCTTTTGGTCTGTGTCCAGTCTTTCCTGATCAGGTGATTGGGTGTATGGGGGTGGGGGTTGGGGGGGGATGGTAGATTATCAATAGCCAATACATTCTATTTTACCTATAATTTTTAAAAAATTGGAAATAAAAAGAGATCACTTCCTATTTGTCAATCATAATATTAAATATAAACAAGTTTTTAAAATTAATGCTTTAGATGTGGGAAGCATATGTTTTACAAACCATAGGGTGACTGCCCCCCCCCATCCATTTTTAATTTTAAGATTTTTTAAAAAGGAATATAGAGTGTATTATCTAGATAGGTGACATCCTTTTATTATCAATATCTAATATTCTATATTTCCTCTGATTTTGTCATCCCTTTGAACATTGAAAACGGTTCAGTTTTATTCTGCTGCCTTTTTGAGAACATAAATTACCCTATATTCATACTAAACAGTGTTTAGGATAATTCTTGAGATAGCTGAGTATGTCTCCTGAAACTTTGATACTCTCCTTAAGGAGGGGAAAAAAACACACCCTCTCAGCGATGAATTAGATTAGCCTAAAAATATAGCTTGAAGACAAATCAAACAATTTCCCTGGTCTTTTGTTTCAGTGTACATTAATTAAGCCCTCTTCCCAACCTACCACCACTCCAGGGTCAGTCAGAAACCCAAGCCCATTAGCAGCAGCCTTTGTTGTCATTCGCGTCAAGCTACTGCCCCCTGCAGGTCAGGCTGGAAATGCAGGCAGAATTTGGCCAAATCTTCAGGAAATCGATGGTAGTCATGTTTTTCTCGCTCCCAATATTTAAGTAGAGTTGACTTTTACACTTTAAGTTAGTTTACATGACGGTTTAAACTATTTATTTAATAATGGCGAGTTCATTTTTTAGAATGGGTTTTAAAGATAGGTGATTTCAGATTTCCTTTGAGAATTTTGCTGGGTGGGGCAGACCATCCCATCCACTTTGTGGTCACCAGGAAGTACCTTGATGCGTTTAATATCGCTTTTTCATCTTCCCTTTTTCATCCCTTTCCACACGGTCCAGCAAAGCTCCCAAACAAATGTCACAGAATTGGAATGGTGATTTCTTAATAACAAAGAAATAATCCTGGGCAATTCACTACGGCCTGTCAGTGCGCTCTTGGTAGATGCAACCAAGTGCATTCAAATGAAACCCTTTCAGATTCTTCCTACAGCTGATACGGTGGGGGGACAATTATACTGTTTTTCCTGATTATGAAATGAAACATAATTTCACCTCCATGCTCCCGCTGTTCCCTCCTCCTTCACTACAATTAACTTTCCCAAACAAGGCTCCTTGCCAAGATCAAGTAAATTTACTGTTGACGGAATATAAATTAAATTGCATCAACTTTCCTACAGTATTAGGGAGTGGAGCAGGCTGATGGGAATGATTTCGTAAGGCTTATGGGAAGACTCTTGCGTATTTTGGAAGGTCTGATATGGTGACTTACACTGGCTTGTAAAGAAACCCTACAAGAAGCAGCGGTGTCTCCCTCCCTCACCACGGCTAACCTCCTTCTGCCCTCCGCTGTCTATGAGCCAGACTGTCTCAGCTGTTTTCTTTCTAATGCCTGTCGACAAAGTTGCTTTTCATTGGCGCCCAGGACAGCGATTGTGCTGTGTGACCCGGGCGTTGTCCAGCTGTCCCCACACACAACGCGGGAGATTGCCCCCACGGGCCCGGAGAAGCACCTGCTCTTCCTCGTGCTGTCGCGACACTTGTTTCTCAAGGGTCTGCACGGGGTTCTGGCGACTTCAGCGTGTTCTGTTACGCGTGGAATCCGGGATTAGCAGGCATTCTTGTTCTCAGAAGCTAAAAACCAGGCTCTCTCATTCACAGGCAGCCTGGACTCAGGATCCACTCTGCAGGCCGGTGGGTGTGCAGGTTTATCCAGAAGCACGTGTTTCCAGAGGTTTCCAGATGCTAATAGAGTGGAGGGAGGGGGTAGAGGGGGCAGACAGAACGTATGCCTGCGTGTGCGTGTGCGTGTTTTGGGGGGGCACTGTCCTAAGCAGCAACTTTATACAGATTCAAGGCCATCAGTACTGTAACCGCAGGTGCAAACCCCTCAGGGGAGAGCCCCTTGGGGAGCCCCCTGTCTCCCCTGCCCCGATCCCCTAGGCCAAGGCCAGACCCTGTGCAGAGGGTCCCCACACCGCAGGCAGTGCTCGCTGGCGGACGTGGGGCAAACTCTCATGGGGGCGAGTTACCAGTCCGCGCTGCTGTCCCCCTGGACGTCAGGTGCAGTGAGGGGCGCACAGCCAGCTGCCCCTGCG